TGGGTGTTCACAGCTGAGTAGTATGCTCCGATAATCGATTCGAGTTTTGGGAACGAGTTCACTTAGGGGGAGGGGACAGGCATTCGTAGTTTTCTGTCAACTTTCCGAGTAGTTCTGTCAAGTTGTGTAAGGTTTTTGTCGCTCTAGGAAGTGGTGTCTGTCTCATATACACGCCATTTCTAGGCTTTTTTATGTTGCACATGCTGAAAACTACTAAATGACGGCTTCTACTTGAGTCTAGAAGGAGACGAGTTTCTCTATGGGAGGAAACTGAAGGGGGTTCCGCATTCCGTTGGAAGTGGTTCATGTTCCTTCAACTGATAACTGTTTCACGCTGTCGCTTATATTTTTAGCTTATCTTGATAATTTCCAGATGCTCAAGAAGGTGAGGCGGAGGCGGTGTAGTGGCAAGTCGCACGCTCACCGCGCGCTCGGTTAAGGGTCTAATCCCGGCTGGACTGGCACTCAAGCCATCCAATTCCCATCTCAGAGGAAGTTTTCCATTCAACCTACGGCATTACTCGCACCACACTCTTGTCCCTTTCTAGCCTGATCGTAAATTACTATGACTTAGTAATTATTATTTTATAATAATGTTCCTATTCCCAGTTGTCACGGCCTTAGGCGAGGCGGAAGTGGTTTATTGGCAAGTGGCACGCTTCTACACGCGCAGTCCGGGAGATCAAATCCCGGGTCGACTCCTGCCCAGACCAACCAAGAATCTTTCCTCCGGGACGGTGAATTGGTACCAGATTTGTTTGGAAGGATAAGAACAGACTTGTTCATCGGTTGGCCTCTGAAAGTCATTATATGGGTCAAATCGCAGTCAATTAACCACTACGATTTTGAGTGTGTTTAGAATGCATGTCGCATCCTAAGAAGATGTTGATTAACGGCGAAGGCTTTATCCACTATCTTTTTTACACAAGAAGGTGTCTGATGGGTACAGGGCTCTTGCCAACCGGATATGCTCTCGCTTTCACCGCAACTACTGCCCAGCAGTTGAAGGGAGATTGGAAAGGGTGGGGTAACAGAGAAGGATGAGAGGAAAACAAGGCAGGAAGGAGAAAGGTTCCAGCGGTATGAGAAACTCATCGCAGAGATGGCTTATGACGGGTGGCTTTAATGCCACGCACACAAGTTGGTAGCGGGCAAGCACACCGAGTTAGCGTAGGCGTGTAGCTCTTTTTTCTTAAAAACTTGACTAGTGGTTTTGAGTGCATCCATTTCTAGTCATTTAAATCTTGTTGTTGAGCGTTTTTGCTTTAACTAGAGCTCATTCGTTTTCTGGTGCTTGTTGCTACCTTTCATTTAGTTTATTTAGGATTAGCTTGAGAGCTTAAAATCGGTCGCGTTGAATTTTTGTCCAGTTTAAAATGGAGAGTTAGGAGTAAGAATGCGTGGCTGCATTACTCCCTCTTGCCGCCGTAATGGTTAGCTTAGCCGTTTGTGACTTCATGCTAGGTTCCATAGATTTAATGATCATTTCGCGAGTATTTGCCTAGTTCCCAGAGCGGAATGTTAGCTCCTCATCGATAATCTGCTCTGCTGACGACCTAATTGCGTCTGCTATTATGGTGGACTGATTTCTCTCTGTCTCTAATGGCATACATCCCATGCGTTTTGACATCGGCGCAAGTGACGTGTAATCAAAGAGGTTATATTGGGGTGTTATGGCAGACATCAAAGGAATCTAACTAGCGCACGCAAGTGGAAGATTTCTTCAACTTCTGTTGTCTGGAAGTTGAAAAGCTGTCTGTTTACTGCTGACATGTAATGACGGAGCCCCTTTTTTGGCCAACATTTTGAGCAGCGGACTTGAGGGGTTCAATATGTTGAAGCGCTTCGAGCTAACGAACCTGGACAGCGCAGTACCGTAAAAGACTTCTACAATTTTCAGGAAGATCAAAAACGTAGAATCTAATCTATCAGATACTGCATTTCAGATGACCATTTTATTGGTTTTCGCTTCGACAGTGAGCCCAAAAGTGCCATTGTCACCGATGGGCGCATACTACTGAACTGCCAGTATACAGTAGAGAAGGCTAATGTTAAAGATGTTCGGTTAGAATGGAAAAAGGATGGATCTTTAATAAATATAAAGTCTAGCAGTAGAATGTGAGTGCCTTTTGTTCGTGATTTGGTGCGATTTTTTAAAGTTTTTTTTCTTCGTCAAGATAGATATTATGTTGTCCCTACAAGAAGAATGCATTTTGAATACGTTCCAGGCAACTTTTCTCGAACGGATCGTTATCTATTCATGATGTTATTTTGAGCGATACGGGCTCTTATCGCTGTGTGGTTCATGTGACATCAAGTGATGGGTTTACTTGGACGTATATGAGTAGAAAATCCATCATCAGTCTACCAGATCTTCCAAAGTAACCTTTTGTATTGTGCATTAGTCGAATGGAGGGGGCATTTACCGTTCACTTTTTGACATATGGAACCGTTTTGCAAAGTCCTGAAAACACTTGTAAGGCTGCGTTCATAGGCAGTTCACTTTACGTCGGAGTTCTGAGTGTTCGGGCGACTGAGAAAGTATAGGTATCGATCCACGAGGGGTTCAATGTATTTTCGTTATAGCTATGAGGGAAAAGGCAAAAAGTTCTGAATTCTACATTGAAAATTCAATCTTCAATGTGGTCCCCAAAGTCCACTCAGTTGAAAACTGCTGGCGAAACGCTCAAAATGCTGGCGTAAGCTCAAAGCGCTGCCATGCACACAAAACGCAGACGTAAAGTTAAATGTAGCCTAAGGTTCGCATGGGGATGACAACCTTGTCTCTTGTGTTGCCATAGTATCTAGATATGAGCCAGTAACCTGAAAAGGTGGAGAAAAGGCGCTAAATCTCAGGATCGATTGCAACTCCTTTCCGAACAATGGACTTTATTAGCTCACCCGAAGGCTGTCCCTCCCTAAAATTGGCCAAAAATCCTCGCCCCAGGCTCTGGCTGCTAAAAGTTGGGTAACATGAATGTATCGAGGAAATGGCTGGTCAAACATTTGGAAGGAGAGAAATAAGGAGGAGATATGAGAGATGAAGAGAGAGAGGAAAAGGGAGGAAAAAGGTTTCGCTGTTGACAGATATATTGGGCCCATTTAGCAGCTCTGCAAGAGTTCACAGGTCAATACGAAGTGGCCTAACATGTAGAAACGGAGTTAGCCCCCTCCCCCACCCTCTTCTCTCCCTCTCATTCGCTAACACATCCATAGCTAATGCTTAGTAGAAAAGAGCACTTTCTTGTTGTTACAGATTTGATGCGCAACCAATAGATCGTTCAGTTGCTAAAGGTCAGCCAGCCGTCTTCCAGTGCATTACGGTCAGTCAGCTGTTCGCAGTGAGGTGTTAGGATATGTTTATATAGTATTGTGGCGTGCGATAAAACAAGTATTACCCTGATATGATGTCACTTTTCAGCAGGCAAAACCACCGCCAACCGTTGCTTGGTATCATAATGGGAAAGTCATCGAAAGTGGAAGTGAGTCATCATTTTTTCGGCTGTAATGTGCCGCTTTTTGCATTGAAAAGGTCTATTCATCGCCATTGCATTGCAAATGCGCGAAAAATTTCAAACATTATAAGTCTCAATTCCTCGACGAAATTCAAGCTTTTGCTTGCTTACATCGATCGAGATTCGTTATGAAATAGGCTACCATAAATGCACTGGTCCTATTCATTATACCCCAAAGGCAAGAGATCGGAGATGGATTAGAAGATAAGAGTATACACGCCCGCAAGGGTATTATGTCAATCATCCATGGATTGTTTGCGTAGTCCGCACAGAGGGCCTTCTTATGCGCAACAACAGATCGAATTGAGCTATCCAAGATGAAAAATGCGTGACAGTTTGTTCGTATGTTATGCTCGACGCAGTCTACGTTCGCATCCGCTACAAGCCACTCCATGAGTCACATAACTCGTTTGGATTCTAAGTATGGAGAAAGGTTGCAAGATGTGTTTCGTTGGAATCCCAAGAACACATTTTTCTTGCCTCTAAAGTAATCCCACGAAGGCGGTTTCGGCAAAATTTCGTAAGAAGTTCCGAAGTTCAGCTAAAGCTGAAGTGAGAGGTGAATGAGTCACCTTTTCCCCTCTGAATTAGGCTGTCTGACCAGCGCTTCGAAAGCTATATTGGGACCGCGCTGAAAGTCGCTCTTAAAAAGGTTTGAGCAATTTTCTCCGCTTAATGTACGCTGAACAACTTCTAGAAGTGGGAGGAAACACTTGGTGCGTAAGCTATCAGTTGACCCATACAGGTATTACAATAAATACGCTGTTTTTAACGACATCGCTGCGCGCAGATGGCTACAGCATCTCGCCGCGGTGGCCAAGGGTTGTAGTGTTCGAGGAACATCATTTACAACGTACACGTAATGGTGGCAGTGCGAGGGTGAGGCATTTATGGCCGCTGTGGTCATTCTGAACAGAAATAAGAAATGTACTGCTGTAGCTTGGAATTATTCAGTATTGATGACATAATCCTGGTCAAGTCTATCAGAATCAGATTTTGGGTAGATAATGGGATATTGTTACTATTAGCGATTTTTCCTATGATAGATTGGGTAGGTCGCTTTTGAGGCTCTCTCTATCAGACCCTTTTTGGTGACATCTGCGATAACGCTCTCTCGCGGCCTTTAAAAACCAACAATAAACTCAGCATGTTTTTTTGCATAAATGTTGGTCTAAATTTTATCTTCGCGATCGGTCATCTAAGGATTGTAACGTTCAGAAGACAGCTCCCGGGCGATAAAAGTCTCTCTGGATATTGCTTTCACAATTATGAAACAGTACTGACAAGTAAATCTCCCAAAAAGAAAACACGGCAAGAAGCGACCTCCAAAGACAACACATAAACAAATATTGCTCCCTCACAGTCCACCTCCCTGCGGTCTCTGTGCAAGCCCCTAGCTCACAAATCTCTCTATCACATCTCGGCATGTAGTTTGATATCATCTAGGAAAAAAAAGAATGCAGAAAAGAAAAACAACAAAAATGCTCGAGAAACCTGCAAATATGAAGAAAAGGAATTCATCAACGCGGTGTCGAATTCTAGGATTACGGTAGCGCACATTTCTGTGCGTCGAGGTTTTGACATCACGAAAAATTGCCTCACTCTGTGGCTTTTTACAGCGTTTCCATCTCGCGAAAATTGAGTTAATGAAATGTATAAACACTACAATGAGTAAACGTAATAAAGGAGATGTCAGAATATCCATGGGATTAGAATTGCCCGCCGCCCGACTATGAACAACTCGAGTGCCTCCGCGGAGGACCATCTAGCAAGTAAGCGCGTCCAACGGAGCAGGGCTTAGACTAGAACTTACAGCACGCTGTAGTTGCTTCTCCGCTCGCTGTGGAGACGGATGGACGTTGATGGCCAGTATATTGCATACGGAAGGACGAACCATGCCACACTCGAGTGTCTTTAAAAGAGCGTTGAACGTATAGAAAGGAGACTTGTATCAGACATGGAATTAATACTATTATAGTATTAGCGGTTAACAGTTTTTAAAGGATGAGCTGTTTGTTGAAAAGTGTTCATGTTTGATTATATATAGGTACGTGCGGGGTGATATGTCAGTATAGGAGAACGTCTGTGTCAAAGGAGATACCATCCAGCCGGCTGCAAGTGCCTAATTTGGGAGTATAAGTGCTTCCATGTATGGGGTTGCACCCTCCGCTTCGAACCGGTGAAATGTTTCTGTTCTGCCATTTGATCTTGCGCATTTTTGTTTGATCTTATCCAACTATTGAATGGATATATTCTCCAATAAGAGGTGTTTGAGAAACAATGAGTGAATACTATGCAGAAAAGATTAAAAAGCACAGTCATCAGATACAACTAAATGTTCGCCCAAACAACGTAAAGGTATTGTCCTTAGGCATATGTACCTAGATCCCCACTCGAGAGTTCTCAAGTTCCAGCAAATTCACCGCATGGGTCCGGTACCGCTTCAATGGGAGGCGGAGGTATGTACGATGAGTGGCGCGCGTTACCATTCGCGCGGGCCGGGTTCAAAGTCGGGGTGACTCCCGCCGAAGGTCCAACCGGAGCCTTTTACATCCGGGGACGGTAATTGGTACCAGATTCGGTTCCGGAGGATAAAACACAGCTGTACATCGGCTGGCCTCCGCAAGTCATTGGTGCAGGCGCATATCGCATCAATAAGCCACTGCGATCTGAAAAGAAGTAGATATGCGTGCGCACCCACCCAAAGGGTTTGATCAAGCGGGGCGAAGACTTATTTTTATCCTATCTTTTATCCTTTACCCCACTGCATGGATCGCGGTTCCGTAAGATGACCGGTATGCTCTCGTCTATCGAAGAATGACACGTGTCTATGACTACATTCTTGGTGCTCAAGTGCATCCTTTGAATTGATTAGGCGTGTACCTTAGAGCGCATTTGTTGTTAGTCTTGGTTGGAGTTGATCCTCGTTTTGCTTACTAAGGTTTTTCGTTGAAGTACACCTCTTTTTCGCCATATTCATTTGATTTGAATTTTATTTTTATTTGAGTAATTTTATTCTTTTCCCATATATGCTGCAAATTAGTCTTCGTATTTATTTGCAAGCTGACCTACCATGTGCTACCAGTTTCCAACTCTCTGGAAATGAATCTGTAACAACCACGTCATGAGGGGGAGTAATAAGTGTGTTGTGGAAGGCGCTGGTATAACGAGGACTAGTCTCAGTGGACGTCTCCGCATTGAAAACGGTAGGAGAGAGAGTGTTTTAGAATTCTCGCAGGCCTGAGTAACGGAATGGGGATTGTATTCAGGTCTGGCTTCGCAGGAACTCGAGTTTGTGTCTCTCCACGTGTAACAGACGGCAAAGGAAGGTGACGAAATTGTCCTGGAATGCTTGTCAGCTCAAAAGGTTCGCGAAGTGCGGTGGTGAGTTGTAGGCAATATAAGGCGTTGAACTTATCTTCTGCTGCGTTTACGAACGCTGTGGCGCTGTAGTTATTAATTTCAGCATACTTAACAAGTATGGTCCTGCTAGTAAATTGTGATAGATAAAGTTCACAGAAGCTTTTTGATTCTTGCATGCATCCTTGCGTTTGCCTACTACATTGTATTCAGCATAGCGTCCAAGGTCCCATTAGTTTTACTCGGATATCCCAGCTCTACCGGTTGAACATCGCTCGTATTTCGAATCCGAGGAATTCTTTTGAAGCGAACGCTGAGCTGAATTACCTATTTTGCCTTGTCTTTTCCGCCGGTTCTCTCAAACCGTTGAATTTCCAAGCTCTGTGATTCTCCGAGTCAGATCTCTTATTAGATATGTATCCATTTCTTTGCTCTATATATTGACGAAAAGCTTGAGTAATGCTGATTTTCCATTTTCAGGCTGAAGGATGCTCGACAAATAGCCATAGATGGTTTGAGGATAAGACGTGTAGGGATTTCCTCTCTTCTTCTTTCTAACGTTGTTGAATCTGATTCGGGTTTGTATACGTGCCGAGCTAGTGACACTCACGATTCACTCGATCGAACTGTTGCCGTTAATATTGCTGGTGGGGTTTTCAAAGACTGACTTCAAAGGCAGTTGGCACGAAATTTTGTTAATTGGCCTAAACTGCTAGCAGACGCCATATAGTGGGGAAAATGGCGAAGAAACGAAGTGAAACGGTCAAAAACCTGCGAAGAAAAATCTTCGTCTTTAATGACAATTTCGGACGAGTTTTCTATAAACATCTTGCCAATAACAGCTACGGTGGGTACGGCTGCATGCATGTTCCCATATATCCGTGCAGCACCGCAGCCGCTTCATACCAATCTCTTCGCTTCATACTTTACTTTGCAAATAAAGCGATACGAGCGTCAGGTACGGTCGTCCATTTGTGGGTGGGCGGGCAAGGTGGGCGCTCGGGTCGTAATATTGTAGCTCGATAGGGCCCTTCTAAGAAAAGGCGCTACGCGGCACCTGCTTAGGGTCGTGGAATCCTATCCTGCCAAGCGGTATCAGTCCTACTCTTCTTAGAGATTATTGTGCCAACTGCCTTTAAATCGGCTTTTTTTTCAATGTCAAGTAAGAAAGTCTTTTCAGCAGCGCCGCAGTTAACACATCGTCCTCAGAGTAAAGTAGCGATAGAAACGACTGACGTTGAGGTAGTTCATTCATATCGCTCTTCTCATTTGATCAGCTTAGAATCGTTCTTGTTAAGCTGGAATGCGCATCATCAGGACGTCCAACACCCATCATGTCCTGGTTCAAGAATGGCGAGGCCATTATCGCTAGCGATTACTTTGTGATCGAACCTACGAAGTACCTTAGCTCTGTTTCTTGATTTCTGAAGTTCCGAATCTATTTTGTGATTGCAGATTACGCATACTTGGTCTTGTAAAAGCTGACCAAGGTGTGTATCAATGCATTGCCGAAAACGAAGCAGGCAGTGATCAGGCCGCAGCTCAGCTTTTGGTCGATAGTGCAGGTACTGATAGTATGTTGCATATCAGTTTCTTATGTAATGACTTGATAATTTTATTCTGTTTGTGGCAGGTCCTACTTACCTATCCACCATTGGTGTGGATAGCAGTACACTGAGTGTCCGAACTAGTCCTATTTCTTTTCCAGCGGATGGTTGGTTTTGGAGTTCCTTCGCGCGTTCCATGAACATTTGAATTAGGCTTGTTGTGGCCAAACCAGTTTTTTGTGCATGGTTGTACTGTCCAATGGTGTGGCCCCTGGAGTTGCTGTCCCTTTTAATCTCCTTTGATCCCCTTTTAACAGACATCATTAATGCCTTTGTCTGGTTTTCATTCATCTTGTGGTGGAAATATTTAATACCATTTTGTGCACTAACATCATCTGCCACGACTTCTCATGGTCTTTTTCAATCTTCAGACTCATCATCTGTAGCAGCCTCTTCTGGTCAACCGAAGATCGCTTCTGCACCATTAGGTCTCAAAGTTGGGTCTCTGGGTACGTTTGTGACAATCCGTTGGTTAAGTGCTTGCATGTTTGTTCTTAATTGTAGGAAGTCGATTTGTGAATCTCGAGTGGGATCCACCCCTATCGCGAAATGGTAACATCATGCGATATCATGTGTTTTACAAGGAAGAAGACAGCGACAGGTATGATTATGAAGGCAGTCGTGTCAGTCAAAAGAAATTCATAATAGGCTCCAAGTTTTATAATTTTTCAACTGCAACCGTGTTTGTTAGAGTTTTTTGGGTGCGATTTTACCACGGTAATAAAGTTACCTCAAAGATAAATTGTACACTTGCCTACGTGGACGGTTGCTTACATGTGCGAAGTGGATTGGTACACCGTGCAAATTTTTCCACTCAAAAGCGCGTGAGAACAGGGCTAGAGGCTAGTGATAGCCGGATGCTGCCTCCCGACCCCGCTCGCGTTATCCTCGAGATGCAGCCTATACGTCGTTACCAAAATCCCGCAGCGAACGCGCATGCAGAGCTAAAGAGCTACCAGTAATACAGACAAGTAGCGCGCTCTTCTATGGTCAGACATAAGGCTGGCCGTGCGTGAGCATGAGCGGAGTCGGAAGGTAGCCCTCGGTGCCCCGTCACAGTGCACCTTTGAGCACAAAATGTGGCTCGATACTGCAACTGGATACCTTTCCACCTTTGGGTGGAGAACAATCTTCACGGGCCTAACTATTAGGAGATAAATCGTTTCGCTTGACTTGTTGTTTCAAAGCTGGGAAAATACGTTTTTTTTCATGTCGAAAAATCGATGTATCTTCAAGTGAAGTTTTAAACATTATTATTTCTAATTAGTAAGAAAGTAAGACAAAATGATACCGACCGAGGAAGATATCCAAAGACGGTCCATAATGGGTTACCAGTAGCATAGTTCGTCTTTACAGGGAGAGAATGCTGAACTCATCATCGACTTCGGTAACAGTCACTTCATTGCAACCGAATACGCTGTACTTATTGCGCGTAGCGGCTGAGAACGAAGCTGGTATGGGGAAAATCAGTGATCACGTAAAGGTTACCACTAAAAAAGAACGTGAGTATTCCTCTCCTTCGTGATTTAATATGATGCAATTTTTCAACGATTAAAGTGTTCAGAAGCCGTACCAGGTCGAGTCACTAATTTGGTTGCCCGGGCGCTAGGTCCTCAAACTATCGAAGTGAAATGGGATCCCCCTCAGGGAGGGCCTAAAGCCTTACGATACAAACTGTTCTACATAAGAAATCCACCGGAGGATGATGACAAAGAAACGCAAACCATTGTAAGTTGCTCTTCTTCAAGTCATGAGTGCTATCTATAGTAAAAAGTTCCCTTTTTCGTTATTTTTTCTGAACGCTATGCTTTTTTTTCGTACAAAATGTGTTTTTTTTAGATTTCGTCTACAGCGTATACTTTACATGGGATGGACAAGTTCACTGAGTACCAGATTAGGGTTGAAGCTGAAGGAGAAAATGGAAGTGGTCTGAGTAGCTACCCGTTGAAGGTGAGTGTGTAATGAACAGTACTGCTATTGCCGTTGTAAGTGCCCGCGCTTAAAACAGGCTCGATTCAAAAATATGGTGGGTGGTTAGTGGACGGGGCGGTGGCAGCGTTTGCGAGTGTGTCGCGTTTTCCTCCCATGCTTTTGGGTTACGAAAAGTGCATTTTCTATGTGTGCCAATTGGCTTACAATGTCCAAAGGAGGCGTCTGAGTATCAAATGAACTCAGAACGTGCCTTTTAGCTTCAAGTTACATTTCATTGTTAAACGAATGGTAAAAGAAGCATTCGCAATGGGCCAGCGAAAAGTTTGTTGATAGCGGGGATAGAAACAGAGATGATGTTCTAGTGAGTTGCCCGTACATAAAAAAGAAGAGGGAACCGTTGAGAACGCTCGAAGTGAGGACTTGTGCCGAGCGAGAGATAAAGGATTGATGCGGATGTTGAGCGAGAACTGACGAAACATCTTTCGAAGCGGGCGGGTTCACTCGAGTGACCACGTGCCTCACAGCGAGCTACGACTACCACTTTCTGCCGTGTGAACTTACGGGGTTGTCGCTGGACTACCCTGCCCCACCTTACGAAGAGCTCAGACGATTATAAATGATCGTTGGTTCTGCCTTTGTGTGATGTCGTTATCCCCTGATCGAAACTGGTTCCCTTAAGCTTCGCTGTTGATCTTTATTTGCTGCCAGAACACTGTCCCATAGCTAAACGTGTTAGTCGTGGGCAGCGGGATACGGCCCGGCGCAGTAAATATCAAGAAAACGCAGAGCCTCTAAATTCACTGGCATTATCTTCGGCCCCTTCTTAACTGACTAGCTGTACTCGAATTGTACAGATATTTAATGGCTAGGGCCATGTCCCGCCTTCGAGTTGGAGACTCGATGGATCAGCGATTTCGCGCATAGAGTTAATACGTACTGTCCGCCAATTCTTTAGTAGGACTCTGGAATCCAATCAAGTCTCAACCTTTTCATTGGTTTCCCGATTCTTCGAGCGTTTGTTTATAAATAGAGTCTTAACCAATGCAATTCTTTTTGTCAGCGTTCAAGAAACGCTCTCGCTCTTCAACGGATATCGCCCAGTAAAATCGAAAGAGTTCAGTACACATCTGGAGGAATTTAGTATCATTGCTCAGAAAGCAGCGCCATTTCTTCAGCGCCCTTGGTGGCTGATGCAAAAAACTTGGCGGAAAAGTCACAGATGAGCAACGATGATTTCTCTCTCAGAATTTTAGATGTGTCGTTTCCTTCCGATTGTTTCCTCATCGTCAGTCTCACTATGGCAAGAACTGCGCTCTGTAAAGTCTGCATAATACCATCCTTGATCGAGAATGTCTCAATGGGTATCTCCCGCCGTCAGCAGAGAACGCAGAGTAATGCTCGCCCTCGGTGAATCTGCGATGCTCCGGCTCACCTCATCACCCTTTTGCCTGAAAGAGTGCAAGACCTCGTTTGCACATGTGTGGCTCATTTTTGCGAAAGTCTGCGCGTTACTACCCCCGTTGTGCAATACACAATTCCACTCGCCTGTAGCGGGAGAGTCTAAAGTGGAAACTTCTCTTTGAAATAACTGTGAGAGCGGATTTATCGAAGTCTGCGCGGTTACCGAGCTGTCACTTCTCGTTCTGCTTAGTCGCTAATTATGAAGCAAAGTGAGCGAAAGAACGTTCTGAAAGCCGTCAGACTTTCCTGAGGTTTCTGGAAAAAAGTAAGAAGACGAGTGCGGTCAGGAATGCCGATCTCCCGCTGTGTTGGTTCCTTGGGAGTCTAGAGATTTCTGCAACATCATCGGTCTCCTTTTTCGAATCCGGTTCGAGTACGAAAACAGTTTTGAACTTCATCCCAGGCAGCTTTTATCGTACTGTACCAGTTTGGCTGGCAAAGCACCTAATCCGTCTTCGAAATGTTAAAGCGCTGCTTAAAATCTTGAAAAATCAGAGAAAAGAATAACGGAAAGCTGGGGGGCTCGCTGTAAAAACGGACCATCATTTTTCTTCCACAACACAAACGAGAGCGAAATTATCTCTCACAACTTCTCTGACGTAAGATTTTTGATTTTCACTGTTCACTGGCTGTTTTACATGTCTTGTTGGACGATCGACCTGGCGACTTTGATCAATTGCTGGAACCGGAGGCTATGAATTCGGTGACTCTACCTCTGCTGCTCCTTACAAAAAATATCAACAGTATATTACTTCCCGTTCTTCCACGAATACTATTCCCGTCGAGCTTCCTACGGCAATATCAGAAACAACGCCCCCCACCGTCATTGATGCGCGCGGTACGGCATTTGAATAACACTCTCTCTTCTAGGGTCCTTATCAGCCTTATCAGATGTTAGTCACTTTCTGTCACCCCACTTATGCCACTCTCTGCGCGCTTAGAAAGGTGGATTTTCACAACACACACAGCACACACACACACACACACACACACACACACACACACACACACACACAACACACAACACACAACACACACACCACACACACACACACACACCACACACACAACACACACACACACACACACACACACACACACCACACACACTCACACACACCATCACACACACATCACACACACACACCACACACACACCACACACACACAACACACACACACACACACACACACAACACAACACACACAACTACACACACACACACACACACACACCACACACACCATCAGACACACACACCAACACACAACACACACACACACACACTACACACACCACACACACACAGACACACACACACACACCCACACCACACACACACACACACCACACACACACACACACACACACACACACACACAAACACACATCACACATGCGAGAGTAATGCTCGCCCTCGGTGAATGCTGCGATGCTCCGCGCTCACCTCATCACCCTTTTGCCTGAAAAGTGTGCAAGATCTCGTTTGCACATGTGTGGCTCATTTTGGCGAAAGTCTGCGCGTTACTACAATATTGGCATTTTCGTGCGGTACCGGTTGTGGCAATACACATCCCACTCGCTGTAGCGGGAGCGCTAAAAGTGGAAAACTTCTCTTTGAAATAACTGTAGAAGGGATTTATCGAAGACTGTCGCAGGGTACCGACTTCACTTCTCGTTGCGCTGGCCTAGTCGGTAATATGAACTCAAGGTGAGCCTAAAGAACGTTTGAGAAGCGTCGCAGACTTTTCTGAGGTTTCTGAAACAAAGTGAAGAGACAGTCGGTCAGGAATCCGATTCCGCTGTGTTGTTCCTGTGGAGTCTTAAATTTCTGCAATACATCATCGGTCTCCTTTTTAAAGCCGTTCAGAGGTTACGAAAACAGGTTTGAACTTCATCCCAGGGCGGTTTTACGTATATACCAGTTTGGCTGGAAACAACTAATGCGCGCTGACATGTTAAAGCTTTGCTTAAATCTTGAAATCAGAGAAAGAATAACGGAAAGCTGGGGGCTGTCAAAACTGCATCATCATTTTTCTTCACAACACGAACGCTAGAAATTAACTCGCAACTTCTTGACGAATATTTTTGATATTTCTGTTTCTTGTGTTTTACTATGCTCTCTTGAATCCATCAGGGCACAGCACTTGGTTCGGCGGAACCACTCCCCATAAGGGGGGGGGTCGTATTTGGGCCGCCAGGCAGAGGGGGGGGGTCGAATGAGTGCTGGTAGGCCAGTATCGAGCAGACGCAGAGGTGTCTAAGTGTGCTGAATCCTGTGTAGCGAAGCTTGCTCATAGAGAACTCGAATAATGTAAAAAATGAGTACAATAATTTCATCCTATCAAACTAATACGCGAAATAATTGAATTATTAATAAGCTCGACAACATCTCGTAATGATTAAAAACTACACAACTCGATACCCTGTTTGCTGCTGTATGATGGCGCCGTGTGCGCGAACCTCTAGCGCTTGGCGCTGAGCCGCTTTTTTTCGACAAAGCGACAGGCACTACCACTATAGTTTCGCTATCTCAGAGCGTTCTCCCCAGACTTGTCTCCTTTATCGCGAGTCCAGCAATTGGGGAGCCCACAGATCTGGCGCCGTCGACACCGGACCACGCCACATCACCGGCAGGGAAACACTGTAGGACAAGTGCACGAGGTTTCGCCAATGGACCTCCCTGAATCCCTACAGACACATTTGCGCGCGTGGACACACATTATGCACTAAGTTGCACTCACCACACTTCTGCGCGAGGAACACTCAGTTGCGCGCGCATCCCCAAGTTGGCGTGATCAGCTCTCGAACGAACGCATATCTTCTCCTGCTCCAGCCACAGATCCTTCTACATCGATTCCTGGTTATATTCGAGACACTTCATGTTGAAACAGTACACAGAAACGGGTTTTTCAGCGAGCTCGTAGACCGCCCAACAATCGGGCCCAAACCGCAGATCTCATCGAATCCCTGAGACGTTCCAAAACAGTTCAATTAGGTTTTTGGAAAGACAAGTCCCTACCTCGAATCCGTTCTCAGATTTGTGAAATATTGAGTAGCAAAAAAAATATATGATTCAAACCTGGTTTCCAAGAAAAATCGCCTCACAGAATCGGCCCAGGCAATTTCTCTTGGATTTTTGCGACGCTTCATGAAGTATTTTAAGCACTTTCAGAAGATCAAGCCGCTTCCTCTACACGAATACGCTTTCCCCCTTCCCCATAGTCTGGCTTTTGAGGCAAGTCTATGGTCGCTTCAAAGACAGGTCCCTACTATGCCTGAAAATTTTTTTGCCCAGGTTGGGTCCATGCACAGAATTCCCTTCCGCCCCGGCACGCTCGGCGCCGATTCAACAGGTCGCCGCGAAAGTTATTCAAAGAGTTACCTGCGGCTTCGTTTAGACAGCAGATGTTATTTCCCAATACCACGCAATCACGCCGTGCAATTGCGGACTCATTGCCGCTACCGTATCCACTCTGATTAATGTTTAACCGGTGTGATACTTCGCTAATCGAATTAAGCAAAGGCTAAATAAGTGGCTGTGATTGTGCTGAAGGGATACGTGAAATTCAAATTTTTTGTCAACTTGTTTTAATTGCTAATCACTGGCGCTTTTTACTCGCAGAACCTTTTGCTTCGTAGAGGATCACTCCGCAAATCAAAGACGAGCTCCCTGGTTTTATAGCGTCTTAATGGGGTTGTTTTCGCTGGTGCAAAATTCTATCCAGTGACAAAGCGTGAACCTGAAGCGAGGCAGAGGTAGAGGACAGTCAGGTAGTGCTACCGCGGAACCGCGCAGACGAAGGGGTCGTATGTTGCCTGCGGTAGTAGCATGAGACGGGTCGTACGTGCCGGTGTCACTACTGGCGAGAAAGCTGTGGCAATAAGGAAGCACTGCCTCGTTTCCGTGTCTCTCGCCGTGGAGTGCGCGTAACTCCGCCTCTCTGCAAATCCATGATAATATTGATGTAGTGAAAATGAAACTACGACACAGCAGAAAGCGAGGTTAGTTGACCCTAAGTATGATAGGGGAACATTAGTTGAGGATATGGGTTGTCCTTCTAAAGCTTGTCCCACAGGTTCATATTTCTTATGTGATCGCGTTCTCAATTGAGAGCGGAATATTAATTCGCAGCGTTACGTAGAATGTTCTGAGCAGCGCATTGTACGCCCGTACGATGTACGTGCGCATCGCCTACTATCATACCCTCGCGCTCGACAACTTTTGCGCGCGAGTATAAAACCACAACACAGTCAACCATGCGTCAGCCATCGTACGCAGCATCGGGGGGGGGGTCGTACGCAGCGCCTTGAAAAAGGGGGAGCGTAAAAGCTCGAAGCCACAACAATCCCCTCGAATGCTGTGCCCTGGCAAATCATGCTCGCGCCGTTGCTGGGCCCGGGTGCTATGAATTGTGGGCGCTTCGCCTTCTAGTGTTCCATATCCTAATCTTATCAACAATTATCACTTCCTGTCGTCCCACAGATGTATTCCCGTCACATCCCACTATACAACTTTCAGAAAACCCAAGACGTCCGCGCTTCACTGCGTCGCGCGTACCGCATTTGATAACACTCTCCTCCTAGGGTTCCTTATCAGCGCTTATCAGATGTTATCACTTCCTGTCACCCACCCATAATGTTTCCGTCCCACTACTATACCACATGACCATTTGGATTCTCTGCGGCTAAATCGTGGATTTTCGCACACACACTTACCAACAGACAAACTTAGCGAATGATGCATAGTAGAAATGTAATCACATTTATTTGTTGATCGGTGCAAATTAGGAGTAATGCATGATTCTTCGAATGAAACGAGCTAAAACCGCACCAAAATTTGTCGCAATGAGTGCTCCCATATTGGTTTCAATTTCAACGATGAATCGTGAATATGTCTTTCGAAGGTTCGCACGCTGTCGGACATCCCTGCTTCTCCTCCACGAGACATCGCTGCTGAAGCTGCCTCAAGCACAAGTATCAGAGTAACTTGGAACGAACCAGATCCCGAAAGTTCGAACGGAGAAATCACAGGATACAGGTACTAGTTATATTTTCCAGTACTGTCCAGGCTATGATCCGTGGAATGTACTAAGGAAAGTGTCGTGCAAGTGGTTTGCAGCCACGCTCTCTAGCCATTTCTATTGCTTTCCTATGCACCTTTCCCATGAACAGTTTTTTCTAGCCTAGCAAAAGTTAGCAAAGAAAAGATAGGGCGTGCGTGGGCAATTCTGAAAACACTGAGCTATCAAGACTTTTGATTTTAGTACGGAGAATGTTCAGTATCTTCAAGAATGGAGTTCGGATTTTCGTCCTCCCAGCTCCTTTAGTTGGATAATTGAAAATAGGGCACATTTTGGCAGGGGGGGGGTGGGCATTTTGCACTTTCGTTATGCCACTAATTCCCGTTTACAAGACTCGCTCATTTGAAACCTGTGGATTCTTGTGAAGCTGGAGCAACCTCCTCCGCTCTTCTTGGTAAATAGTATTTTGCCGCTTCACAAGAGTTGATCGGTACGCTTTGAAATTTTGGCAGGTGGTCTCCACAATTTTCAGTTTGTATCATTCCGTGGCTTCACAAGATGTTTGCTGCTCCACCTGAGGACGACACGCCATGGGAAGTAGAGGAATACAAAATCTCCCTCCACCCCCTCCTCTCCCCCACGCCGTCGCCGAACGCGCTAGAACTTGTACTCGTCAAATTTCCATTCCTATATTGACCATGTGCGCAGCCTTTATGCAGTACTAACTCACCGCTGGCAGGCTCACACGGCGCAGTTTGTCGTCGCGGGTGCGGGGAGGGGGAGGGGTCAGGCATTTCGCGCTTTTGCTGCTTCCCATCGGCGTGTCAAGCCATCAAGTGGAGACCTAAGAAATGTGGAGATACAAAATGTCAACTGGCGAAGTTTTAGAGACCACCTGTCAAATCTTGTAAAGCAGTGAAATAGTGGTGGCTTGACGAGCTTACTCGAGCTTCACGAGAGTTCACAGGTTCCACCAGATGTAACTTGTAAACCGGAACTAGTGAAGCAGTGGCGGAGCGAAATCCCACCCCTTCCCCCTCCCGCCAAAGTGCGCCGGTTTATCCTTTTGCCAATTTGTGCAAAATTTGCGGATTTCCCAAACTTTACCCCAGTTTTTATTTTTATCTACGTGTTTTAGCCCTTTAGTTGGTTTATCTTTTCTTTTAGCACTCGGTGTGCTGGAACCTAGTGATGGATGCGCATTTATTACAGGCTGAAATACAAAACAAGAGTTCGAGGGAGCAAGGGGAACACTTTTGTGCTAGACGCTAGTGAGAGAGAATACACCATCACTGGGCTCGACGTCAACACTCAATACCTTGTTCGGATGGCCGTCGTCAATCACGTACGAGTTTTAACTGAATTAGTGACTATACAGTAACCAGCTCATATGGTGATTCTTTTTCAGAACGGAACGGGGCCATATTCGGATTGGTTACCTGTCGCGACTTCTCTCATGGACAAAGAGGAACTGATTTTGGGTCCTCCTCGAGAGCTTCGTCCACAAGCTGGAGTGGACTACATTGTTATCTCATGGTTACCTCCCGCTGACGAAAGTAATATAGTTCGAGGATATCAGGTAGCTCATTTTCATCCTCAGTCATCTTTCGGATTTGATTTGTGATATTTTTTCAGATTGGTTGGGGAATCAATGTTCCTGACATATCCATGGAGCGTGTTGGTGCCAACGTTCTGCAACATAAAATCACTGGCCTTCGTCCAGCTAAAGAATATGTGATCTCATTGCGCGCCTTTAACAAGCAGGGCTCTGGTTTTCCGATCTACGAAACTGTGAAGTAAGTATTCGCTTGTTTTCGAGGTTGTAGAGCCACTTTGATCCAACCTCTGACAAGTTTCGCTCTGTCTCCCCTTAGTTGTTCTTTCTAGATTCCTCAGAGGGAGGTGGATGAAACTAAAGTACCTTGCCATGTCAATGCTTGCCATTCATTTTCAGAACTCTATCTCACTCGTCGATGCCGTTCTTCGATGGTTCGATGTCGCCATGCCTGTGACACACCGCTCGTGTTCATGCAGAGGCCGTTTCTGCAACGAGCTATTCGAGTTCGTGGACGGAAGCTGATCCAAATGCTTTCAATGCCATGTACACGGTGCGCTATAGACAAGGTCAGTTTTGTTGGGTTATTACTTTTTAAAATTAAGCAAGAAAGGAATATAACTAACAGATGAAGGAAAGATACCAGACAAACACAGAATTATCCTGCGTATAAACTTTTCAAACTACAGTTTGTCTGCTCCGGATAAGGGGGCGTGTCAGGGTAGGATGGGTATGCCGCTGCAACCAGTTAATCTCCTACCAGTTGCTGAATCGGGAAGGCAACAACAATCGGTCAAATATACAGCTTACGAGAAATTTCATTCACGAAGGGAGAAAAAGACCGCGTAATAGAGTGTTGGAATGACCATATTCTTTCAAGCTTCAGCTTCAGTCCTAGGGCAGATTAGGAGAGTTCTAGCTCCTAGGGCAGATTAGGAGAGTTCTAGCCTACCTGGCCTTGGTTCGTGACTAAAGTATTTAGAAAAATTACGGTAATTCAGTCTAGAAATAGTGAAGTCATACATGTCTTAGCTTTGTAAAGCTAAGGCGATGACGATAGTGAGTAGCAGGTGAAAATAGGCTATATCAGAGGCGAAAGGTAACAAGTGAGAGGCAGCAAGAAGATAATCCGCTTCCGATTTTCTAGAATTCGTTGCAAACGACAGTCAAGATGACCAACCTAAGTTCTTTCAATTGCTTAGGCGCCGAAAGTTGGGCTTTCATTGTTTTTGTTAGTATTTTCTCCGTGGATAGAATTATTTCCTCATTTCAATACCAGCGCTATCGTGCCGTTCCATCCCTCTATGTCACTTATCCATTTGAGGAAGCTATAAATTCCCAATCAAAGACACATGCACCAATAAACAAATTCACTGGATTATGTGTACTTAGGCTCTAATATCCCTTTCGTCAAAGCAGGTGCCTTTAGGGAGTAAGCCTGTTTGGAATTTTTCCGTGGAGTGTACCTCTTACTAAATTACTCTCAAAGAGTAAATTAAAAAAGACCCTTTTTCCGTACTTGTTAAGGCATCTTATATGCTCGCTTTATTTATACCATTTTCACTTTAAATTCATCCCTTTTCAAACCCAATTCTCCCTTTTTCAAACCAAATTCACCCACCTTCCAAATGGAATTCGCCCACCTTCCAAATCAAATTCACCACACTTATTAGGCTGCGCAAGTCATCTACCAAATCACGCCGGACACTACTGCGGGCCCCGCTCCCTCGGCCACGCCCACTTGCTTTTTGCGGAATTTTGATATTTTTTCAAAATTATTGCATTTTGGACTACTGCGTGAAACCCCGCCCAGTATAAGAGGCTCCGCCCACTTTGGAGAAGCTCCGCCCACTTTTCAAAAATGATGGAAGTCGGCAGTATAAGGTCTTGGTTTTCATGCTAGGGTCTCGTTCGTCACTCGGAACAAGAAAATCAGGCAAAGTGTGAGTGACAAAACGAGACCCTAGCATGCAAAAGCCACAAAGTCCTTATACTTGCCGACTCCCATCATTTTCGAAAACGTGAGCAGCTTCTCCAAAGTGGCGGAACCTTTCATACTAGGCGGGGCTTCACGCAGCAGTCCAAAAGATGCATAATTTTTGAAAAAATATCGGAAATTCCGCAAAAGCAAGGTGAGCGTGGCCTTAGTGGGCGGCGCCCGCAGTAGTGTCCGTCCGTGATTTGTAGAGGTGCTGCGCAGCCTAATAAGTGTGGTGAATTTGATTTGGCAGGTGGGCAAATTCGATTTGGAAGGTGGAGTGAATTGTTTGAAAAACGGCGTGAATTGATTGAAAAAAGGGTGAATTTGGGTTTCGAAAGGGGTGAAAAGTTAATGTGAAAATGGTATAATGTTGTGATTTCAGTGTTGACTGAGCAATCAAGGTTCGCTACATGATTCCTTCAGAGTCGTGGTACTATTGACGGTCTTATCGGACCGAGACACTGAATACGAGTTATGCAGTTCGATGACCGCTAGTGGCCGGATCCACTCCAAAGCCTTGGAGTATTCGGGTAAGCAGCGAAACAAGTAAGCTCGTGCAAAACACAATCACGAAGTTCGTGCTCCTATGCAGACATTACATCTCGTCTATTTAGAACCACGCGTCCGGTCCTTCATCTTCTCCACGTAGATTGCTCACCGTCCTTCCGCTGCATCGCGTTGATTCCTCTTGCTGTTTTTGCTGAATGGCAGCACCAAAATATTCAAATTGGTCTGAAGTTGAAGGTTGGATAGTCAGCGATAATATTTCACTGCGTAAATTCATTGCGGTTCACAATTTTATCTGTGCTCATTTCTCGCACCAAGTATATTAACTATACTTTTCAGGAATATTCTGATTTGATTATACTTTGACCAGTGTAAATGCAAGCGACAAGACTGAAATTCATTATGTGATGGCAGATAACCGCTTAAGGTTACATGAGATTCGAAATCTTCTTCCCAAAACTACTTACTACGTTCAAAATTCAGCCCTCGAAATGAGAAACGTATCAGGGGACCTGCTAACATATTCCTGCTATTTTTTATACTTGGTAACTAAGCACAATCCATAATTACGATATTGTTCAAGGTTAATATTGAGGCCGGCTTTCGCCAGATAGACAGACTATTGGAAAACGATTCGGGAAGCGGTTCTAGACCGACGGGGCAGATTGTTACCTTTCGTCTTGGAAAAGGAGCAGGCATGCGATGGGAATGATCTGTTAGCCTGATTTCACTTCCATCCGATGGTACATTGCTTATACGTCAGTCGCAATTTGCTAGCTCTTGATGCTTCTCTGCTATCATTTCTATTTATGTGAAGCGACCAAGACTGCTGTGCTGATGTTAGAAGCGCTGGGTATTCTTAGAACCCAGTTTCAGTAGATTCTTTTAGCTTCTTTTGGTGCGTAGAGTTTGTTGCAGAAATTCAAAAAATACTGGTTACACGGCAGGAAAAAAGGCGAGCGTTCAACAGCAGGGTGCAGATCTCTGGATAGATCATCCTGGTGGTAATAACATGCGAGGAGGACGTGAGTTTGAACTGCTTGTGTTCTCATCAAATTCGCGCTGTTCAAAGGTTGAGCGTTTAATTTCAGCCTCAGACTATATGGTGAATGGGATTGGATCATCAGTGGTAGATATGAAGCATTTGGCTGGTCCTGACGTGGTAGAGTCGCCACCTCCAAGGTATCACGGCTTGCAAGGTCAGTTGCTAACTTCAGTTCGATGGACTGACTTATGGTGATCGTGAGGGGCGTACGGTTCGGTGAAACTTCAGCATGTGCAGTATTTTGAAAGTCCTATGTATGGTTGTATCCCACCTCTGTATTGTGTTTTGTGACATATTTCCCTCTAATAGTGAGTCAAATCTATGTTCGTTGAGAAGACGCCGTAATAATGTCTACATCAGAAGGAGGAATCATAAGAATACGCAACGTGGACAATTACCTTTATTGTTGTGTTTGTAGTTGTAGTGTTTTTCTTCGAACAGATTCCACGTATGGATCAGTGTCAGTTCGTCACAGTCGAACACCTGCACGAACTTCCATCTCCTCATACGACGAAGAGATGCGGCGTTTGGAACTTGAAGGTCGTCGTCCCATTATAGTAGGTCGTGCCAAACCGATTCTTGCATCAGTCGTCGGATATGGGCCGCCTTCGGAAGAGAGTATGTTGTTTGTTGCATGCGCATTAGTTATTCCACAATTAAACCACTGTATCTGCTGGAATTTCCTCAATATTTCCACCTCCCTCAGGGGCTATTCCATTTTCAGGCCAAGGGACTCTATCACGAAGTTATCATCATTCGCAATCGAGTCTCGAGGGTCAACGACAAAGAACACCTCAGGTGGTGTATACAGGCTCAGGACGGCATCAGGTACCTGCTAATTTTATTGACTAATCAAATAAAATGAAAATGGGTTTCTTAAGAAATTCTTTGCATTTGTTTCAAATCCGAAATTTTCAAAGTTACTCTGAAGTCTGATTACGATTACTTTATCATTTTGTTGAATTTATTAAGGGGGGGGGGCAATCTAAAGAACTAAATTATAAGTTCAGGACAACAGGTGGCATACATACCCCAGATTGCGCGTAAACTGAGGGGGTAGAAGATGGCAGTTTATAAAGCATTCACTACCAGCTCCCACCCCGGAGCTTTTGGTAACTGAACTGGTCTATAGTAGTCCTACCCCTATGCCTCACAGAACTGATATATTTAATTTCGCGAGCACTATGTGGAATAGAATACTGTACGCCTCCTGTTCTTCTGATCTTCCTGACCTTATAATCTTGTACTTCATAGCCATGCTAGCCAGTGTAGTTTGTTTTCAGCCCATTGCAAAAATAGAATTTGGTGATTCTCCGTATGGCTCGACTTCAGCATTGGAGCCTGAAACTCCCCCAGTACCACTACAAGCACCGCCTGTTGGACCTCCCGTTGTTGACGGTTACCGCACGTTACGCGGAGGAGTCACACCTACAAATCAAAGCCAAGGCCCTCTTCGGTAGAGTCTTCTTTGATTGGCTGGGCTTCTAGTACCACATAATTCTGGTTATTTATAGGTCGTTTACCCAGCTGGCAGGAACTCCACCCCCACCTATCGTTGGTCAGGTATGTTCTCAGCAGCAACCTCGTGCGATAGTGGTGGCGGCTGGTGGAAGACAATTACCTGTGGGAAGGGCGACTGCCCAACCGAGAGTCAATGTGACGAACATTTATAGGTGTGTAAATGGCTTCCATGTGACTTTTCTTAGGTGGCAGATTACCAGTCACTATTATTTCCAGTCCATATGCATCCTGTTCCTCGGATACCGAGGCTGAAAAGAAACCGGTCACGTAGATGTAGATACCGCAGGGAATTCAGCTGGAGTTCGGGTATGTTTGCTTCCATGTACTCCCATGTTCTTGCTTTTCCATGAAACTTTCCTTTACTTTCACTGAATATATTGATTCAAGCCTTCAAATTCAACGGAGGAACTGAATGCCCAGATGGAAAACCTCGAATACCATGATCGACGACCTGCAAGCCCTTCAGCACGAGTTTGCGTCCGTAACGTGATCATGAATATGTAACACATTAACTGGTGAGCAGCAGTCGGTGTTTCATTTGTATGTTGTACAGAATCCCCCGCTTATAATTTCCTAAATTCTCGTCATTCCGTTAAGTACCCTCCCTGAACTCTTGGATCTACATGTTCTCATTTCCGACAAAAGAGCTTTCCGTCTTGTTGTCCTTGCCATTTTTGTTCGACAGTTACGTTTCAGCAGATCCATTTTGTCTTCTCAGATTTCGCTCAGTCATATGCGATTCTGCAACTTATCCATGGCTATTGTTATCTCACTCGATTTAATCTCTGTAGCTTTATCCTATTTTTCACTTGCAATTTCGTGGGCTGCATTTGTTTCCTAGCATATCTATCAAAACTGTCATTAATTTCATGTATTCTTTTCTATACGTAGTGCTTCTAGCTGTGCTATATTGATGGCTCTGTGTCCGCTTAGCTCACGAGTATTGCTAGTTTAAGTGTGCAGTATTCTACCGACCCTTTATGGGCATCACACTTCACTGCGTATTACAGTATTGACACCGTTCGTTATGTTTCGCTCAGTTTGTCATTCTTACTATGAAAAGATTGCATTATAAACACTCAATAATTAATAATCGTACTTGCAATTTGAAAAGAGCCAAGGCACGTCATCGCGTTGTGATCATTTCCTAAAAATGCGACCCCATCCCACCACTTTACTAATTTTCCTACATTCCACTACTTTTTTTCCCGAAAAATTTGCTGTCGAGTGGGAAGGTATCATTTTCAATTATCGAAAATAGTAGTATATTAGATCTTTGGCAGACCCTCTCCCATTTAGACCCCCCCCCCTTTACACGCCCGTGAAACAAGAGAAATCAACTATCAAAAAATTTTTCCTCTGACCAAATACGACTCATCCCCCTCGCGGTCAAAATACGACCCCCCCCATGTTGTGATCATCACGACGATGGCGTGCCCTGCCTGTGGCTCGCCGACTCCTCTTTGGTCACGATAATCACCAATGAGATGCTGCAGTTCATCTCTTGTTAGCTATCAAGTAGCAGTCTCGGGAGAGGGTCATCCCTCTTCCTTTACTGACAACGGTTGTTTAAGGCCACAGCGCTTTGAGAAGCTATCACAAGAATGATGTGTTATGGGCAAAGGCTGATCCAGACGGGGCGTGAACCGCATCTGACGCTTGTGGAGGGACTACGCTACCCGTTGCGCCAACGAAAGGTTCTACTTCAACATCGATCGGTCATGTAGTCGTCATCGCACGGGTCATATCAGTGTTCACGTTTATGCAGCACTGATGGGAAGGTACGGAAAAGTGTATGTTCTAGGTTAATGAGAGCATTCACGATTTCTCATTCGCCGGAAGAAGACTGAGCACATTTGCTACAAACTTGATGACAAACATTACGCACCTCGAAGCATCTTAGTCACTGCCGCGCGCATGCGCGAGATGAGTGGATCCGGAGCAGCAGTAGCATGCCACTGCCTCCACTCAACGTGCACGGGAACGGGACTGAAGGGCTGTGAAACTCTGGTGCTGTCTGGGACTGCGCACTGTTGCGGGGCCCGCTGCACGCCTAACCGTATGGAATTCATGTTGGGTGCAGGATTCCACTATCTAGACAAGTGCTACACTTTGCGGAGAGCTCGGGCGGACTCCAAACCAGCATTCGGGCAGAGTGATCGAGATTGGGCAGCAGAAAGCACTACGTTCTACACGAACATAGTCTTCGTGACATAGAACTGGAATATCTATCTAATGCGAACCAAAAACTCTGTGCCAGCTGATGGGTTCCTTTCCGTATTTAGACAAGCGCACATCCTATAACCAGGAAGTAGAGAGCAAGACTGCGCACTTCATTCAAGCGCGTAGGTGTCTGCCTTCTTGGTTGGAAATGTAGGGGAACTAGTGTAGTAAGGTAAGTGAATGGAAGGCCGAGAAGATGAAGGAGGACGATGGAAATGAATACGAATGGCAAAGGAAGCAAATGCAAAGATGCAAGGATAAACAAGCCTATATAAATGCGTTATGGAAAACATGTGATTCCGCTCAGTGTTCGTCACAGGCTACCGAGTGGAAACTGAGGATCTGGGATAACTGTTATCGTGTATTTGCCCAGTACAAGATAGGATGCCAGTTTTCGAATGTAGATACCACACAAAATGCACACTATGCCATCGCGAAATGAAGTACGCAACCACGCCCTCCCCATACCAGGACATGGAATGTAAGTTACTGTAATTCCATTCACACTGAATGAACTCTTAGGCAAAAAGGAAGGCACTATTTGGATCACCGACCATTTTTTATTTTGCTCTTCACAGTGGAGTCAACTTACATTTTGCACTAACTGGAATTCTGATTGCGGAGCACCATATCTTATGTAACAGCACATGAATCTATTGCCCTGGATGCCTTCAAAAAATAAACTAACATTTAACAATGATTGAACTGAATCTCATGAGAAAGCTACCTCTCACTTTTCTCCTATAGAACGACCATCACGATGAATAAAGAATAAAGTCTTCGCCGCCTATCACTCCCTTTTCTGAATGAGTGGAGATGCGGCATGCATTCTCCTCCATTCAGAATCGTGGCTTATTGAATGCAGTATGGCCCATACAATGACTAGCAGGGCCCAGCTGCTGTAAGAGTCAGTGTCCGTATCCTCCGAATGTGATACCAATTTACCTGAATTCGTCAGTCTATACTCCGAGGAGTAGGAGGCCTGGTTGCCTTAACGGGAGCGACCACCGAGAGTTAAACCAGGACCAGCGCGTAGTAAGCGTGCCACTTGTCTCCACACCACTGTCGGCACGGTATAAACTGATATACCAAATTCTTTGTCTACAAAAAAGCGACAATGCGACGAATCCTACGTGATTCAACCACAAAACAAGTTGTTCTCTTTCAAGTAGTAAGTTACTTGCCGAATTCGACATCATCGGAAACGTCCCATGCCTTCTCAATAAAGACCAAAAACACGAGTAAGATAAAGGTTACTCTTTATTCTTTTTTAATCACAAATGTTATATATAGAACTTGGACAATACTTCACCACCGTATGAAATAAGGCACTGAGAAAATAAAGACATTTCAAGAACTATCTGGATGGCGAGACTCGATTCTTGAGCAACATTACGGAGCGACTTAAATAGTTCGCTGGAATGTATAGAATCCCAACAAATGCAAGAAGTAGACCCAATTCACTGTACCAAAGATAGTATCAATAGCCCGAGACAGTAGACGACCACCCATTTTTGATACCAGTCTAACTGTAAATTCTATTCGAGCTCTCCATGTAAAGTTCCGTAAAAATCAGACAATGATGTTCAGTCTTTTTTGCTGCAGGCGTGTCAGGGGGGCTGGTTTTGGCGCGGCGTTAGCCCGTTCTCCATTAATTGCTGAAACGGCCAGCAACTGGTGAGAAACGGACTGGCGCAGAGCCGAAAGTCACCCCCCCCTCCCCTTAGTAAGCCTCAACGTCTACAGCGAACGCGACAACATATGACTGCGAAACCCTTCTCGATGACAAATCACAACAAATTGAAACACAAATGAAATTGGACGAGAATGCCTACATGAGACTATAACACATCCACAACTAAGCTTCGTTATAGGTTATGAGAGCGGAGACAGGAATTCCTCGGATTTTGTCCCTTCCTCGGAGAGGTTCCAATTCGATTATCATGAACGCTTCCGCAACAGAAGCGTTTGCCTTCTCGAGAAGATCAACGGCTGCCTGAACAACAAGTGGTTTTTCTATTTTGGATGCTTCGTATTATACCTCCTCCGAAACGTGCTTCACCTTCAAGGTGCCACCTGTAGCTAACAAATCGTCGATAATTACCACCTTCCAACCAGCCGATACAGCATCCTTTTGAATTTCAATGACGTCCTGGAAAAGTTAGTGCGTAAAAATAGCAACAGTTCGCCTGAGGGGGAAGGCACATACGTGCACACTCTTTCCGTTCGATGATGAGAATGACTTGATATTGCAAGTACAATGGCATTTTCATTTTGTGCAAACAAAACGAGGAGCGCCATAGTCGTGAATCTTTAGCCTCTTCGAGTTTGAGTGTTTTGATTAGACTACTCGCCTTCATAAGAGCCCGAAATGGTCAAAGAACATTTTGAGATCTTCTCGCCCAAACACTTCAACACTCCCCAAGACAGTTTCCGTCGACCAGTAAATCACTCAACGCTATCAGTCGAGCGCAGGATGCTGTCCCACCTTGGTCTCACATCAGCCGCGTGATGCAGGGACGACCACCGCAGAGACGGCTTAGGCGTGATGTACCACTTGCTGGCACCACCCTCCCACCTCGTGGTGGGTCAAGTGGGCTCTACAATACCTTATATAGCAAACCCGATATCTGATCTGCTATGCTCTCCCGACCGATAGTGTGACTGCATGAAGTCTTCATCTATATATCAAATGGACACTTTCTCAGAGCTATGGAAGCGAGCATTCCGGAGAAGCAATTCTGAATCTCCAGGTACGGGTGAATGAACATGTGGAGATCAGGGGCCCATACACCGCTTAGAGTTCATTTGACGTAGCAGGGACTATCCTAGCGCAGGAGATTAAGATCGCGGCGCGCAAGACATTGGAGGCTTTTTAGGACTATCAAACGAACAGGAGGGAAGAGTGTGGTTTTAATCCAAGAACTCGCGCCTTTTTCCGACCTCTATGCGTTTTACCTACCGCAAGGTCGAGAACGGGGTTACCAGTAATTTTACTCCAATCTAAGTCATCTCAGGGGTGGTCGTCTCACACAGCTGTAGTCAAGGTGAAAAAAAGTCTTGCCCCCGATTGATAACGTAGAGTGATAACTGATTTGCTGAATTGTTTGGCAAGCGAGTCACAAAACTTTTTTGAGTGCTTCAGGCACTGTACAAGACGAAGACGCCGAAACGTAGGCCTAATAAGGTCACCATATCTCGGAAAGGCTTGAAGATTTACCACATAAGCACTCGTCATGCGAAGATTGCATGAACGAACATGAAGGTTGCAGTTACACTTAAAGAACCTTTCCTACTGAGACCTAGACTCCTCAATGCGTGTCCATACCATAGCAGTCGCTGCTCTCGTGCCTTCAGCTGGATCGGAGCCTCCTATGTTACCGCCCTGACATCCTCTGCCTAGTCGTGCCAGTCGCAGGCTCATCTCAGCGTTCTCATTTAAAGGCACAGTTCGCGACCACAAATTGCAGGAAACGGAACTCAAATAGGCACAAAAAAGTGCTAAGTATCTGATTAACGGAGAAAAACAGCAGAAAAAGCACATAGTGGCTACTAGCTAGTAGCTAGCAGCTGGTGAGGGTCGGCATGGGCCTAAGGGGTGTCCATGGGCCTAATTAGTTAGCTTCTTGCGGAGTTCTTGCAGTTTTTCACATTTTGAAAGTAGCGCAGCCTCAAAACCTTCCGGATCGTCCGACACATTTGAGAGGTCATAGCCTTATTTTATCGCGGAATGTGCCTTTAAGCGAGTGGAGCTGCCTACCCTGGTTCTTGTATATGGGCCAGCACTCACTGCCGCAGAGCATCGCAAGCCTAACTATTGCTCGGTACCTTCACCCTTGAGCTTCTCGAGGTCGGAAAGGATGCCTGCGAGCTCCCTCCATTTCGTCCACGTCCACTGATTCAAACGTTTACCGCCTGCTCCACGCTACCATAGGCTGCTAAATCGCCTCCCAGGTACTGGAACTCCTTGACCCTTTCGATAGTTTCGCCTCGCGGTCTACGACGGGTTCGGTGCGCTCTTCTTCACTCAAAAACTTGGTCTTGTTTATGTTCAGCTGGAGTTCATTCTCAGCGAGCACATCCTGCCACCACTCCACCTTGCCCTGAAGTTCTTTCCTGCTATCATATCAGGGCAATGTCGTCGCCAGCGTAGGGGATGGTTTCCAGTGGCCCTTCCATGACTTCTTTCCCATAATATTCAGAGGCAGGAGGAAGAGGAAAGGGCTGAGAGCTGGTTGGTGTACCCCAACGAAGGAGACCAGGTGTTGCGGAACTTTTAGTTCTGTGAGTGCTCTCCAGAGTGCAGGCTGAGGCAAACGATCAAATGCCTTCTCAAAGTCTAGAAAGTTTCAGAATGGCAGTGACTAAATCAATGTGCACGAACCAAGTTCCGTGGCTTCACCTTCTGATACAGAACGGCTCGGCATGTGAATGTAAATTGAAGAAATTCTAATCGCTATCACATGCTTCTCAGCATGAAAATGAAACTGCAATAATATGTGCATGAACGTAGATGTCATACTGTTCGTGGCGTGTCCTCATCATTGACCAAGAGAATGTGCACAGATGTCCCCCCCTATGCGAGGCGAACAGCCTTCTCAGCAGTATACTCTTGGGAATCCACAGTGACTAACATTTTAAGCGCTCCATACCTCACCATATTCCTTCACATACGACGCCTGTAGGCATTCACCAGGCAATTTACCTTTCTTCCGAATGGGGACGAAAGGCACTCCCAGGAGAATAGCAACAATAGGACCAAACAGGAAACCTGCAAAAAAGCACCTACAAAGAAATCGCAGAAGGCGTAGGGGAAGGTTGTACACAACAATATGCAAAGGCCCTGTAGCGCCTTCCTCCCTCTTTGATAGACTTCCTCTAAGAAGCTACCTTGACCAGGGAAGTCCGCCAACTTACCAATGTGAGGTTATTTACAAGTATAGATAGCAAAACTGCAACCTGCATTTCACAAGCAACATATGAGCAGGTAAAATTTGTGTAATGGTGCAGTAGAGTGGAAATTTTGGTAGCGTGTGAAGCATAAGCGAGGAATCGCATACGTCGAGTCGAGTCGTCGAAACGCATTACTACTGAACCACTACCACTCGATTCGATTATTCGCCTTCACAGCTCACCACCAAGGCCTCCACCCTATCTGCACCATTACAAATTTTTACCTGCTCTTAAGTTGCTTGTGAAATGCAGGTTGCAGTTTTGCTATCTATATTTGTAAATGAACCTTATAGACTCTATCGATTACCCAGATCTCCATCCAAAGTTCCATGGTATTTTGGAGACTTCCCTGGTGGGTTATACTAAAGCCTGGCTGGCATGTTCTGAACATTTGACATTTCTAAAAGCCCTGAAGCGATAACGCCGGAAATGTCGCCGAGTAGACGATGCTATCAGACACAGAGAAAGTTGTTTGAAGTGGCTGGGCGGGCAGGCAGAATAAGACAAGATAAGCATAAATATCATGATGACGATTGTCTACCGGTTACCTCGTGCTTCGAGAGCGGCGATAGCGTTTATTTCACCGACATCCGTCCGTATATGTTGAGCAATTGCTTTGCAGAGATCATTAACAGTATTTGGATGAGCAAAAAGAGGCATTATGTCCCTGAACAATAAATTCGAGTTCTTTACGTACGAACGCGGTCTTAGGCTGCTTCATACTTTGCGTCAGCGTTTCGAGCGTATAGCAGCGTGTTGAGCGACTATGAAAGTATAGGTATCGATCTAGCGTACGCCAACGTTCGGAGCGTCATTGAGCGACTGGGTAAGTATAGATATTGGTCATCATTTTGAGCCCACGTCAGCAAATATCGAAGCGCTCAAAGCGAAACGCTAGACGCCATATCGATGATGTAACTTCCTAGTAGCTGAAACGCTCGGAGCGCTGACGCAAAGTATGACCGCTGCTTCAAAGGACACAGTAATTTTTCGAAGCAGTTCGTTTCCAGTCTCTACGTATTGACTGAAACAAGTGTTAGCTAACACCGAAGCTGAATTCAGGAGAATACCTGCCGAAGCTGAGTTAAACTGATTCACTGTCTGCTAATGCGTGGGCGTAATCACTCGCTTCTGCGGTGTAGAGGGAAGGTTTGATCTATGAGCTCTGGTGTGACATGTGAACTAAGGAAGCTAAAGATGCAGTGAGATATGGCTAAGTCGCTGCGGATGAAGGGGTGTGTCAGGTGGGAGGGGCTTGGTGCTGTGCCAAACCCGTTCTACACGAACTGTTGAAGCGAGCAAGTGACAAGTGACAGTATTATTTCGTTCGCATCAGTCGTTTTCCACCAACTATTGTCGCACAGCTGCTTCAACAACTGGCAGAGAACGGATTTGGCGCCGGGCACGCTCACACTGCTGACACCCCTCCCCATCCGCAGCGAACTGGAGTAAATGAGTAAGACTTTATATGAAGAAAAGGTTTATATTATGACTGTTTTTAGAAGGGTAGCAACATCAAGATAAACATAACTAAAAACAATCGTCAACCGTTACCGATTCGACAAGCACAAAGAACTCACCTAAAATTGATTCCTTCTTTGGGAAAGTCCAGTATACTTCGAATATGCTGCTCGACTTCAGTACGAACATCGTCAAGTGACTTTACTGATTCCTTAGACATCTCCACGAGCAACGCAAGAAGATATGATAAGACGAGCTACAGCAGCTCATTAAAGGACACCTGCGGTAAACGTGCACTGGTCCCGTAACGATCAGCGCTGAGGCCCCATCACAGGCCTCCCAAGGCTGGCAGAGAGCGACTTGCCTACCGCTTATTCCAAGTTTTTCACTAACCTTCTGTTTTTCGTAAGCGTTGTTTAAATGTTTCCAATTCTGCCAAAATCGCATCTGCAAATCTAAAAGCTGTTTGTAGTCCTAGTGGAAGCTTTTTTCAAAGGAATACTGCGATTGGATTGGCGGCATCGTGTAGTTCCGAATCTTCACACACTTTGTGGTTGTAGTAAGCCCCTGAATTCCTTGTTGCTAGTCAAAGATATCTAGTAATCAAAGGAACAAGTCTTTTCCAAAATGGCCGCAGCCAATTTAATGCTTTTGGGCCATCTTGAATGTATTTCTTGAGAGGTTTTTCTTCCTCCATGAACACCTCTCATTTTTGATGTTCTGGTTCGCTTTGATATTCAGTTGAATAGTTTGAATAGCTTAAGATTGTGCTGTCCCGGAGCCTCATTGCAACCTGAATGTTAAACACATAAAAGAGGCTCCAAAATTCTTTGCGAAAGACTCAAAAGAATCCAAAAGTTTTCACAAAAATTTTTGTTGTTGTTTGAATAGTCTCTATGGCCTTGTTTCAACAAAGGTCGCAGAGGTCGCAAAATCAACTTTTTGCGTCGCAATGATTCCTGCTACCGTCTCTGCTCTAATCTCATATTATTCCGTAATCGTGACGATTTCGCCGTTGTTAGTTCACTGAGCTGATATTCGTTCGGACCCTCATGCGGTCTCATGATGAATTATGGGATCTGCGTATAGGACGTTACATTCACTGCGGGGCGACACGCTGAAGTAGTTGGCATTTTCTAGCTACATACTTTAGTAGTCAAAACAGTACCTCCAAAAATTAGGTCCTTGCGCGAGGGATACGCAAGTGTGGATGCGCCACGGCAACGTGTATCTCACCCCCTCCTCATCGCGAGTCAGGTTATGCATGGCGATGCGCTGCCACCCAGGAAAAGAATTACTCAGAGAACCTTGAGTGGACACCTTATTATATCGGTGGAGTTAAGAAAGGTAGAGGTGCAGGTTACAAATATGTCGGTCAAAATTGTTACTTACATCTCACAGATAAGCTACAATCTGACAATGTCGTCGAATTCTCCGAGCTTTGTCGAGGGCGCTTGTAGCGTAGGCGCTAAGCGGGTGTCATTCTAGTTCAGGAAGTCAGATTTCAGTTTCCATATTTGCAGCATTTCGGTAGCAGAACTATTTGTTCCACTCAAGAGCTTTGACTGTCTGCGATCGAGTTGCCAATCTTGTTGGGAGGAGGTGGGGGGGGTGGGGAAAGGGAGTTGGGAGTGGGCTAAGCTCCTCCCCACAATACCCCGGTGTTTCCCGGAACGGTCTCTTTCACATTGCTAAGGTGGTGCATTTGAATTCCGGCTTAAGCATATTTCATGGCCCATGAATAGATCCTTTGAGCTGGTTCCACCCCGACTAATAAAACTTTCCTTCAGAATCGGTTGTTAGGTGGGAGTTTGTCCATGAGAATGACTCTCACGCTGGGTGACCCTTCCAAGTCATGATATCGGTCGAATTCTTTTCAGACACTACTCGATTCTCGGTAGGTTAAACTCCTAAAGAGGAACGCCTCTTAGCGTTCGGTCATTGCTCATTTGCAACCCAACCATAAACACGTGTGCGTTAAGCCAACTTATGTAGGGTAATAAGCCATTTTTCTAGCCCTGTTGAAACTACGTCACGCCATCTGGTGGGTGTCAACGCGGAAGCTATGAGATGTTAAAGGTGAAAGGGGGAACTATTGTTGTGGTTGGAGCCGCGAAGATGCTGTTTGTTCTACAGTCTCAAACTACCACTTTGCCTTTCAGCTGCTGACTTCTCTAACAGAACTTATAAAGAGGGATGCTATCGCTCTCGCGGACTTATCGTTCTAAACTGCACCTCGGGATTTTCGTTTTTTGCTTTCAGCTTGACCTCTTTCAACCACTGCCGTAATCTTTTCCTCGTGAACAGTCGCCGCATCATACACCAAGATTCCGCGGAATCTGCCGAAAAAGGATGCTTCCATGGAAATCTGAAGAATGCGCAGGTTCCACGGATACCGCAGGATCCGCGGAATCGAGAGAGTCGACGAAGTCGCAGAAGAAAACGTTGGAGACGAACGTTTTCCCCGCGGTCCCGCCATCATCCGTTTCTTCAGATTTCGCGGGATCTGCATTTTCTTCATATCGATATGTAGCCTCTTTTCGCAGATTCCGCGCGATTCTGCAGGACTGCGGAATGCTCAGTGAATGAACGCGGCCATAAATTTCTTGATGAGCTATGTATATTGAACGGTTTTGGACCTGAACAGCGAATGAAAACTGGTTATTTAGCGAGATTTCAACGCTGCGACGACATGGTGACGGCGTTTTCTGAACATTAAGGAGCATAACGTGGAATATTTATGACAAGATTTACCACTTAAACGTGTATATTAACTCGCAAAAATCAATGCGAAGTAATCATTTCAGTATTTCATCAAAAAAGTGGTGGGTAGCCACCCAACACGTCACCATGAACTTAAATGTTCTAAAGCTAATTCTTCTATCAATAATGATGTGCAACTTTGGTCGCTGGTCTCGCCCCGTTGAAGGTAATGATGCACTAGTTTAATCCCACTACCTTTCCATTTTTCATTTTTTTGTAGTTGCTGACGGTATCTGCGTCAAAGTGCTGCACGCGCTTCCTCGTCAAGGCAAACACAAACACGTGTCTCTTGTACTTTGTCTGCTTACTTGCTTCTTCTGGAGGTTTGTGGATGTTGCGATTTCTCAATCTTTTCGTAGATCATCTGCTGTCTTCAAACTCTTGTTTCATTGGTTACGTAGCAAGAGCAATGGTTTTCAGGTGTTATCCTGGCCCTTGCTTTCTACACTCTTTCCAGAACTTGTTGATAACATTAGAAAACTCGATGAGGTGAGCGCTAATCACTATTGGGGTAGCATCTCTCAACAGTTACCAGCCCAGAAACTCATTTTCTGCGCTGAAGTATGCCCATAAGAGTGTTTCGATGCCTGATCACAAAATCGCATTGGTTTGGGCCTGGCCCCATTTTGGCGCCATCGACTTTCTCCCCAGTTTGATGTAAACTTCCGTACTGGGTTCTTTGGTGTCCCGAGCACGTCTAACGGTGCTGGCGCTGCGCGATTATAGCGCAATTGGCGCACCACTTTTCCCACCAAAACCGGCTGTAATCTCTCGCATACTGCCGTTGTTCTGTGCCCGTAACGAATATGACATCCGTTGATACGAAATCATGATCCTTTTCGCGTTATAAGGTGACGGCACCAACACTTCTTTTGACCACGAAGCATGTAAGCGCGGGCTCTTGGAGGAGCCACAGCCAACCAATTGACAGACCTTGATTTATTGTCTGGCGAAAGTGACAGTCGTCTATTCTAATGTGCACAGCCTCCAGCAGAAAGAAAGGATACATACATACGAAGAGAAGGCGCAGACAGGTGCCACAAACTGCGCGCACGTCACACCCTTTTTACCCCATCCTCAACTCGCATTGCCCTGCATACACATGTGATAATTGTGTATGAACAAGTTTGAGCGATTTGGGTGACGAGGGGTAGGCTGGCGCAAGGTCCATGGCGTGAGTGCAGCGGCGGTTACAAGCCGAGCGAATTCGGATTCGTGTTCAAAGTGATCAAACTACCCTTGGAAAAAATTTTTCAGGCCAATCTGCCCTCATAGCAAAAATACTCGGTAAAAGTCGGCTGATTCCGGAGGAGGGGTAATAGTAGTTTGAATAGTGGCTCAATGTTGACTTCTATTCTAACTTTTTTTACTGGTTAAGGTTTATAACTTCTATGTCGATTATCCACTCGCCGAGCTACTCAGCTGCGCTGGAATTCTTTTTGTTATTTTTCCTTGAGGAGGTAAAAGCTGGATTTGCTCTTACTATAGGCGAAAGAAGTCTAGAAAAATTGGCAGTTGTTATCATTTCAATCGCCGTCACTCGCACTTCTCACGCTGAAGGCCCATTGGCGGACATGGTCATGGGTTTTGTGAAAGGTTGGTGGATTTATTTGATCATCTGTGGTTCCGCTTATACTGGTCTTTCTTCTTCAGTTCACCCCTGACTGCGCGCAGAAGGTAGTTGCTGTATGACGGGACGGATCGTACAATCTCCCCTCGTAGATGACTATTCACGTCAGTTCCTCCTAATGCATTTAATTGCAATTCTTAAAGATGACTGACTTTTCAGTTGGTTCAATTTTTCTAGCTGCCTGTGTAATATTTTGCATTATGAGGCACAGTTTGTTCTTCAGAAAAGTTTGCAAGGCAACTGCGAAATGTCTAGAAATTCCCACCGGCCATCGAAACTAACGCTTGACGCTAAAAGTTTTGGCAACATTGCCAGCTTTTCTCGCTTAAGAAGTGGCGTTTCACCACCTTTGGTCTGCCTTCAAGTTTGTCTGGTGCACATGTAGTTTTTGAGTCTTATGAAGTCTGGAATTTCTCGAATCGCAAAAGTCAATTGTTCCTTAGACGAACAGTAGAGATCTGGAAATTTAGTGGCTTGAGATCGCATGAAACATGCATGAAAGTTTTCATGACAAGGAAATGAAGGCGCTTAACATATTTCTGATCATCTGTGGCGTCCATGCAATCACTCAATGGATGAATAATTCATACATTAATAAAAAGAGCTATGGTAAATCTTTTGCAGGCTGCTGAGTTAAAACAATACGTTTTGCATGGCGAGTGATGTATGAGCGAACACTGTGATTCTTCGAAGGTTTCTGGGTAAGTCCTGTAAAGTATTAGGGTGACACTGGAGAAGCAGGCAAGATATTGTGAAATCCATTAAGTTGGAGCGCCAAGCTGCGTTATACTTCACATGAGTAACTCAAGCGTACTGCGGGGTTGAGC